GTGAAGTACCCTCGCTGCTCCAATAAAGTCAACATCACATTAGTAATTTAGAAATTTTCCGCCCGGATCCTGGGTGGGACAATGCACTTGCGTAGCCCTCATTTGGAAGCACCCGAGGAGCGACTCTTGGAGGAGGCGGGGAAGGTTCTGGAATGTTGTCATTGGCCTGGCAGCCTCTTCTTTGACCTTGAGGTACTAGAGGCACCTCATCTTCACCATTATCATCAACCTCCTACCCCGGAACATTTCCAATAGGATCATTGTTTGCCATGTTGTACCTGAATCGATTAACTCACAGAAATTAGTAAAACAGAAGGAAAGAAAAACAAGACACAAAACTAGTCAGATAGATAGCCAAAACCGTTTAGCTCCCCGGCAACAACGCCAAAAAGTGATCGGTTCCAACCCTATACCACTATAGAGTGGCAAGAGAGGTCGATGCAGCTTTTACCCGAGGGGTCGGGATCGATTTCCACAGAGAGCTAAGAAAGGTTTGGAATTGGGTTCCTATCTAATCTAGCAATGTGCGATGTTCTTAATTGCACTTCTAATCATTCCTTGTTTGTTTACTATTCTACTTTAATACTAATGATGCAGGAAAATAAGCTAAGTATGATAGTTTTGTATGGGGTTTTCTTAATTAGTAGAAAGGCACTAGGGAAGTGACATACTCCTAGGTGAGTATATAACGGGATCTAAAACTTAGGGCAAATTTGTTATAATTGAGATCATGATATAGCCATTGCACGTAACTACTCACTCTATACCTCTCGGTAGTTTGAGTGACTTTGCCCTAATTGGCTTTCTCAAGCCCAATTGGGTGTTCAAACAGTGCAAGCAAAATTAGCTCAAGTTGGGTATTACTATCTTTAAGTTTAACCCTTTAATTGGGGCTATCAATCTCTTGAACGCACCCCAATTCCTTGTTAGCCTGAATTTCCTAAACTTGGACTCTCTTTCTCAAGAAGGGCCTAAGTAAAAAAGGCACAAATTAGTATTTGCAACCACCAATTCAACATTTAAAGCATAAATCAGGCCAAATATCATTCACCCATAAACATTTAATCCCTAAAATAGAAGACCCATTAAATACCCACACTAGGGTTGAGCCACGACCCTAGCTAATGGGTCTAGCTACTCATAATCAAAGAGGAAATGAAAGATTTGGATGAAATATAACCCATAAAAAGTAAATACAAGATTAAAATCTAAGATTAATTGTTAAAGATATTCTAAAATTACTTAAAAAGGCTAAAAACGGTTGTTCACGTGCTCTACCAAACAGCAGATGCCCTAAAAATCTAAAAAAGAACTATTTATACACAGCTAAATTTTCTGGACAAAAATGCCCCTACGAGGGTTCCACTGACAGCGGAAAATGGACCGCCTCAGCTCTTGGACTACCGCGGCCGCGCAAAAGCAAGCGCGGACCGCAGTTCTTCTCTTTTTAGCTGTTTCTGAGCTTGGAGCCGCTGGGAGCGGAAAAATGACCGCCATAGAGCTTCTCCAACCGCGGCCGCGAAATATGAGCGCGGACCGCGGTCTTCAATTTGAGCTCCAGACTGAGCTCTCTGATTCCCTCTTCCACTGAGGGCGATAAATCAACCGCTGCCGCGTTAGAGACACCCCTGCCGCGCAATTCCTCTGCGGGCAGCGGTAACTTGCAAGCCCAAAAATGTAACTCTGTGAACCTTGCCACCGCTGAGAGCATAATCAAGACCGCTTCAGCGGTGGATCCTCCACGTCCGCGTCCGATTTTCCGCTGTCAATGCCCCCTTTTGACTCAGCTTTGAACTTGTGTGGGTTTCACTCCTTTTTGAGTTGGTTATGACTTTCTTGTCTCTTTTTGACCAAACACTGCAAACAAGCACAACAAGTTAGTTTTCGGGAATACTTGTACACACTTTTAATCCAAAACTTAAGCAAAAAGGAGCATAAAATAGACTAGAATCCCTACTTATCACTGGTTATCTGGTTGCAGTCCAAAGGGATAACTATCGAACGAGAAGATCAATCCGTCTTCACCTCGACCCGGGTGAGCCCCTCATCAAACATCCTCTCTTCCTTGGGGTCAACGTCAGAATCGGATTCGAGGCCGTAGAGAGCCATGAACCTCTCCCCCTCTTCGGTAGAAGAAGGAATATCGACTGGCATAGAGCTCTACGGATCACTCCCCGGCACGACTGCAGCAACCACCAGCGAGGAAACAACCTCAGCACCGAGAGCCGGAACCCCGGTATTCGAGGTCACGCCAGTTTCAGGCACGGGCACGGCAAGTTCGGGTTCACCACCCACCGAGCCTTCATTTGTCTCCACGTCACTGCCGGTATCAATTCGCCGCCTTTTGAAAGGAACATCTTCTCCATTGCTCGGCGACGGCTCATCCACCAAATGAAACATGGATGGATCTATAGTCCTCGCCGACGGAGTAGCCGCCCGGAGGACAAGCCTACGCGGAGCTGGGGCCTTAGAAGATGCAGCAGGTCGTGTAAGCCCGCCTGTTGACGCGACGGTCGAAGCCCTGGTCAAAGCACCCGCCCAACAAAAAGGAGGGGTGGGAGCCTTCGCCTTCTTCGGAGCCTTTCGACCTAAAATCAAGGATAACAGCATAAGCAAGAAAGAAGGGTGATATGGAAGTCCAAGTGACCAAGGGTCAGAACAGGACTCACCGGTCGAAGAAGGTTGGCGCCCGAACTTCTTGTTGAAGGACGACCATTCACGGATCCCCACCGTATGGGGTAAGGCCTGAGCCACCCAATCTCGGATGTCAGTGACCAATGTAGGATGATCCCTTTCAGCTGCACCATGAAAGGACGATTAGGTAATAGAAGAGAAACAGCAAATATCCAGAGATGGAAGTACTTACGGGCGAAGTTCCATTCCGGGAAACCCAGCAGGATTTGCCACCACGTACTCCATTTTGACGAAGAAGAAGTCAACCCAAAACTTGCGGTTGGTCTTATCGTCCAGTCATACCACCAGTCCTTTGGTTCCACGGTGGCGCTGGTGTATCATTGTACCTCGGTAAAAACTCGAAGCGAAGAGATGCAGCAGGTGGCAGATAGAGATTCCGCTGTCGGCCAGCTCTGCATACTTTATTAGCATGAGAAAAAGCTTGTAAATATAAGGAGAGAGCTGGGCCGGGTAGACGTTGTGATAACGGCAGAACTCCTCCGCTAACGGAGGAAGAGGAAGAGAATAGCCCACTCGAAATGGGTACGCGTAAAATGCGCAGTACCCAGGACGACGAACGTGGACCACATCATCTCCGACGGGAACCAGGTCAATATGAGCAGGGATGTTGTATTTAGCCTTAAGCTCGGAAAGACGACCGGTGTCCATTTTGTATTTTGCCGGCTTAGTCTCGTCAACGGGAGGCTTTGAAAAATCAAGCCTGGCCTTATCACCACGAGGAACGATCTCCTCCACCGTAGGGAAACTATCATCTTCAGCAGCCATGACCTCCCCTTAGGAGGAACTGGCATGTCCACTGACACTGGGTTCGGGCTAAGAATTTCCTCAGAGTTAGAAGACGCACTAGCCATTTGTGTAGTTATGTGTGAGCAAGGAGTTTGAAAACGAAGAATAAGCGACGATGTTAAGACAAGAAGTTGCAGAAAGCAGGAAAGGAAGCAAGAGAAGAAGATGAATCGCTTTTCAAAATACGAAAGTACAAAGTTCTGAATGAGGAGGTTTTCCCCCTTTTTATAAGAAAATATTGGCGCAAAAGTCGAGAAAAATAACTGCCATATGCGCGAGAATCGAAGCAAAAGAGATGCGGGAAACAAGGCAGCACATCGGGAAGATGCGCAATCATGACACGTGAAATGGTGACGTCACTCTGATCCCTCATCATTGAGCACAATCTTCAAAGCACCGACCCTTACCTCGGCTAGTACAACCGTCACACGGTATTAAGACCGGATCTCTCAAAATTGCAGCTGGCGAAGTCCGCTTACCGAGGTCGACCTGAAGGACAACCTCGGCAAGCGGATGGACTAACTGTATGAGCCAAAATCCGATCTAAGAAGTTCAGTATAAAAAGACTATCGTGAAGACCATAACTTGCGGCTCGGCCGAGTACGACTAGGGCGAACCATGGTCATGCTTCTGAAGCAATGCTAACGAGCCGAGCAGCCAGGTCGGAGTCGAGCATTCGAATTGGCCGAAAATGGCTAGTTAGTAACATGATGTTTTTGAGGAATATTTTGTAGAATATTCCATGCACTTGTACTTTTAGTAGGTAAGGGATATATCCCATATAAATAGGGATGGGATTTTGATAATTTCTCTCGAGAAAAGTTGACTCTCAAGTAGTTATAAACATTATCTTTTGACAAGATTGGATTGGTTGTTGATTCCAAACTTTCCCACATCAGATCTGATAAAGTGTTTGGTATTCCCACATTTGGTTATTTTATATCCTTGTCAGAGAGAGAATCATCCACCTCATGAATATTAGGGTGAATCATTCTCTCTATTTATGTTTATTGCTATTTGTCATATTTATTGTTTTACCCTCTTCCCCTCATTCATTCATAGCAATATTATCAAACACCTCATTGAATATTAGGCTCTAAATGCGGTTCTTAAGTTACATCTATTCATCAATCTTGGATTTAGAGTTTATTATGTTTAATTAGAATTTACCCATTATCATTTATTTAATTAATTTAGCAAAAAGGGGCTTTCACACTTTTTGGTCAAACAGGTCCGTCAAAAGTTTTGTCTTATGCTAGTTGCTATTTCACCAGCAATATGAATTCGACAATAATAGAAGCATATGGGATGCCAACTTTAGCAATAAAATTAGAGTTGATATGGATTGGTAACAAATCGGACAATTCAATTGTACAAACTAAAAGATTGAATGACCCACATTTATATAAGTAACTTGAAGCCTCAGACAAAAGTTTCCATTTGAGTGTTGACAGAATATGAGTGCAACTTGTAGACAGATAATATCTGTTCTTCCACTGATGTTAGTTAGGGAGCCCACCTCAAAAGAGAGAGAAGCTAGCCATTATTTAGTGTTAAACATAGTTGGATTACACAAGAAAGGTTCAGTAACTGTAAGGAGGGAACTCCATGTACAAGCTGATTTAGGTAATCCAATACCATCACAAGAACAAAAGAGGAAAGTGCTACATCACGAAAAAAAAAGGAGAAACTATAAATGTAAGAAACTAAGGGGAGACATTATAAAATATGTTCCGCTCCTTCCTAAGTGAAGATATAGTACTGTGTCCTGATCTCTCCACTTCCATCCCTGCAACATTTTCAACTTTTTATTATCCTTTTGTTAAGTCCTTTAATTCATCAACATAAAAACATAAGCAAAACTATGGAAATTTATCGCTCTTTCAAATACCTATATATGCTAAGGAAGAGATCAGATATGCATGGGGTAAGATTTCAGTAATAAAGTGATCCTGCAGAAAGGAACAAAGAGCTTAGAATTAATCTCACTGCCAATGAGAACAGACAAAGGTATATTATTTTTATACAAGTGCAAAAAATAGCCATACCCTGCCACCAATTTCCTCGTGAAGCACAGTTTGAATTGTTTCCATTTTGATCATCATCTTCCCCATCTTTCTTCAACTGACCAAGCAAGCATAAAGGAACCAAGTTAAAAACAGCAAGAATCAATTATTTAAAAAGAAAAAAAGAAAAGAATATATGGTAATTAGGCTTACAATATGCTGAGAACCAGGTTGGCTATTTGGAGAATAAACATCTTGGCCACCATAATAGATGGATGAACTCAAATAGCTCGGTTCTGTTTTTTCATTCTGATACATGGAACTTTTGTCCTTGCTACTTATGTCTCCTCTGCTTCCTTGGGACCCATTACCTGTTTAAGAAATATGGTCAATAAAACATTTCCAGTTGAGCAAAGAAATTAATATAGTATAAATATGATTTTCAGCAACCTGAAGTTCCATATTTTGCATTTCCATACTGGTAATTTTTCATGGTTGATGAACCTCCAACTCCAGTGTGAACGGAGTCCCTTCTAAGTCCCTAAAAAAGAAAGAACGAATCCACAATTTGCAGAGGCCACATTGTTAAAGGTTGTATATATATTCTAATGACTGAAAAAAATATAGGGGAAAACATTCATTGACAGGTTCCAGAAGGTGCAAAAGCAAGACTTATATATTGTCATTTTCAATGCTACAAGTTAGAGAGCTCACTTTGCTATGGCTATATTTTGCATGCAAATGGAACATGTTTAGTCCTACTAAGTAAAATCTACATGTTTAGATCACTTTTTATCTGGCTTCAGTCAATAGACATGTGTGTTTTTCAAATATAAAGCTTTCGTTTTGTACTGGTACCGAGTCCATGTTCAAGCCTCAAATTTAGAAGCAAAAACAGAGAAATGCATGATGTATATACGTACCGTGGAAGGTGGTCCAAAGACAGAATTAAAGAGTGCAGAGGAAGAAGAGGAGGATTTAGGAGTCTCCTTAGGACCAAAAAGGTCGTTAGTAAAGGAGGAAGAAGAGGAACCAGCTCCCACTTGCTTATTTGCCTTGTCCATTATAGTTGTGTCGACCAACGAACAAAACTACCTTAATTAGTCTTATAATAAGAGTAGTGCAGATATGATAATTGATGGAGTAGAGTTGGTGGAGTGAATAAATAGCAACGGTCCAACTGACACAGTTTCCGAAAAAACAGAAATGGATAAGCTGGTCTTTGCAGAAAGTGAGGAGAGAAGAAGTGAGGCTTGAGGGGAAGAACTTAATTAGAAAGAGAGCACGTGAAGTATTCAGTGTGCTACTGCCCTCTTTGTGAGACATGTCAAATGCTCACTGCTATTTATAGCCACTAACCCATGCCACAGGGGACTCTCTCACCATGCCTACGTAAATACCATATTTATTCTTTTTTCATTTATCAACTTCTTTCGTTGCTATCACTGAATGTGGCACCGTTAGGGGTGGCAAAATAGTTACAGTTAACCACTCATATTATTCACTAAAAAATGAGTTGGATAGTGAATTTTTTGAAAAAACGGGTCAAATATAGATAAGAACCGTATTTTCTATTTAGAAAATGGATAACTAATGGGTAACCAATGAGTCTAACTAAGCCTTAAATGGGGAGTTCCTCAAGTTAGGGAGACTAAGAAGTATCCCGAAAGTGATCATATGCAAGAAGTCATGGATGATGGTTACCCATATTATCCGCCGGTTAATCCATTTTTTATCCGTATTAAATATGGGTAGGGTCGGATAATTTATCAGTTTTCGACCCGAACCATATCCGACCCGATCCGCCCGTTTGCCACTCCTAGGCACCGTTAATTAGAGTTATTGAGTTTAGATGTTGGAAATGAAAAAAATTCTACTCCCTCCATTCCAATGTCAAACATAAACTGGTCACAGAGTTTAAGAAAAAAACAAAGATTTTTGAAATTTGTATCCTAAACAAGTCAAAAAGGGATTCAGAGTATTTGTGTGGTTGTAAAAGTTTCTCACTAAGGTTAGAATTGAAAGTTTAAGCTGAGTTGTTTCCAAATTTAAAAATGAGTCATTTTTTAGAACAGACCAAAAAAAATATAGGTTCACATAAATTGGAACGGAGAGAGTAATACATAGAAGTATTTTTCTTTTTAATGGATTCAGCACAATGCAAATTAATTCGAATTAGACGAATCAGTAGATATCATATACGGATATCAAAAACATTTAAAAAAAACACTAGTTCTTTTTTTTTTAATCATAAAAAACACTAGTCCTATTTCAAAGGGTCAAAGCTTTGGGTCATGGATCAGAAAGAACGACGACCGGGCCATATTTATTTTGGTGTCTCCCACAATAATAATAATAATAAAATATAAATGTGAATGCACATGGTGGGACAGGGGGGGTGACAAGTGGTCATGTTGCCATCTCCAAGCCCTGCAACCACGTGTCATTTCTAAGCTGTAGGCTTTTTACAAAGATCAAGATGAGTATGAAGCAAATTATTCAGTTTTAGCTATCCCGTTAACAAATGTTGGTAGTTTGTATGGTTATAATATCGACAAAACTTAAACTGTATTCTTTCATACAAATAAAATTACGATAGGGGACAAAGATATGCATATGATCGTATTCTAAAAACACATCGATTGCCTTCTGAAACCTAAAATTCCTTTGTTTCTGTTTGACCAAAAGATGCTAAAATCTTTTTGATTAAATTAATTAATGATAATGAAGGGGTAAATTTTAATCAAGCATAATCAACTCCAGATCTAAAAATGTATAGCAATTCAATGAGTAAAAGGTAAGAACGATCAATATTTATTGATGTTAAATATCTCATCTTTTGTGAGTGTTTACCGTGAAAATGGTAATGACAATTAAATTTGTTGATGGGACTCTAAAAATACGTGATCTATTTTTATGCTAGTCGTGGAGCAGTTGATGCTGTGTGTGTGTAGTATAAGTGTGAGACGCGAGCTAGACTAAAGCAATAATCGAACCGAGAGATAGCCGTTCGGGGCATCGAGCTGGTCGATTTGGGGCCTCGAGCTGGTCGATTTGGGGCCTCGAGGTCGAGTCTCGAGCTCGGGCTCGAGCTATCGGGGGGAATCGGGGAAGGGCTAACAGATGCAATAACATTAAAGGAGGCTCTTTATAGCCAATGATAAGCAATAAATAAGCAATGAATATGGAGCAAGTATTAAAATAATAAGACAGAACAACAACGTCGAGAGAGTATCTTAGAGAGAAAGACAGAGAGTTATCATATATTTCATGTAGAGCTTTTGGAGCAACATCAGTCCCCTACAAAATAATCAGAATCCCCTTTATATAGAAGGGGAGAAGTTTATACGGTAAGGTACACATTAGCTGTAAAGGTGTGGAGATGGGACGGCTGAAATGACGCCTCGAGCAGGACCCAGAATAGCCTGGCTATGCTTTGTCAGACTTAGCCGCGACAGATTTAGCCGCGTCTCGGGAACTCCTATTTCTGCTTTAGCCCCGATCAATATCCTCCCAAGGCCGGGCGCCGATAGGCCCCGAGGAAGAGGACTCGAGCGCATCTTTTGCAGCCTCGAGGCTTTGAGTCGATCTACCGAAATGCTTAAAAGACGGGAAATTGGACCCTCTGATTTTGCCGTATACAGATAGTCTCCGCGTTTCCTAGATCGAAGTGATAGGAAACGAATTTGATGACCAACTCTTTAAGTTCCCTGCGCCGATGTCATATCGGTGATGCAGCCTACGACGTGAGCCTTTGTGACAACCGGGAAAACCCTTGGACTTGTCTTTTCGACAGCATTCAATGCATTGTTGATTCTCGTTTTTCAAAGCGGCAGTACCGCCGTCGATTCGGTTTTTAAGAACGCATTGATTGTGCCTGCCGATCCGTCTTTCGAAGACATCGAAGACCATGTGATTTCTCCCTATAAATGGGCGAACATTGATGCTATTTCTTCAGCTAAGTGTCTTCTTTCCTTCATTCATCCGTTCCTTTTTGCTGTCTTTACACCATCTTCTCCTATTGTGAACTACTATGTTTGGGGTTCACGACCCCAAAGCTGTATGGCAGCGTCCTTATCAGCTGTATAAGGGCCTCCTGCCCGAGTTTCTCCATGTCGAACGAGATTATATTGTCTCGACGCTGCTGTTGTTGTTATCACGGCTGTTATTGCTGCCGTTGCTGACTCGGGATGATGATACATGGGGGGCCGATTTCTTCCGGTATGGACAGGAGTTCGGATTCTACACCGCTGCTCACTCTCCCATCCTGTCCTGGTATGGCACTTCATTCCTTGGGTTTTTTCCAAGGGATAAAATGGCACAAGCGGCTGTCGAGGCTGGGGCCCGCCGGATCTTCAACCTTTGGCTTCGGCGGGCTATGTCTCTTTTTTCTTCCTCTTCTGCGTCCTCCCTCTTTCCTCTTCTCCGTCTTTTCCCTCGGATATGTTATTCCGAGGGATTGAGCTGGGAACCTAGAGGAGGTGGCGGTCGAAGGTATCGCTTTTGAGGACGCAAGCTCGAGGAGGCGGCGCTTCGGGGATACTGCTACCGGAGATGAACCTTCGAGGATAGACTAGGTTTACGCTTCGCATATTCCCCTTTGTTTCCTTATCTCTGAGTAGAAACCTTCTGTAAGCTTTTGTAATCATATGTAAGGACCCCTCGAGGGCCGTTGTAAGCAAATTACCATAAATGTAAAGATATTTTTTGACTTCTGCCTTTGATGTTTACCATATTTCCTCTGATTTTTATGAGGATCCTGAATGTATGCTTCTGCTGCCGATTATCAACATTCAGCTCGAACGCGAGTATTTTTCTTGGCTTTGTTTGATAGAAATGGCTCCCTTCTGAGCTCACCGTTGTTTCTCGGACCGAGCTCGAATTGGTCCGATATACCCGGGCCATCGGGACCCTCGAGTCTCATAGAGATAATACTTTGAGACTTGAAGTTCTTGAAGGCGGTGTCTGAGTGAAGTTGGCTTCGGAAGCCTGGAAATTTGCCTTGAACTTGGCACAGATAACCCTTCTAAGACGCTGTAGATAGGTCCTAGATGATGGATTACCCGAATTTTGGCAGTGCCCTGAGGCCGAGCCTCTTTGCGCGGAGCTCGAATTTCCTGTTCCTCCCCTTGGGGGGGGGTCCCTTCGAGTTCAGCTACTATCTTGGGCCCCATAATGGTGTTGGAGATTTTATGGAGCCTAGCGTCATGTTGACAGAGGTCCTCGAGGTCGAGTATTGCCTCGGGACTGGAGGTGGTGTTCGCTGGCTTCTTGAAGCCTAGCTTTATGTTGATGGAGGTCCTCGAGGTTGAATGTTGCCTCAAGACTGGCATTCGAAGTCCTTGACCTCCCAAGGCATATCTCGGGCAGGCGGACCGTTGCTGTTTCCGCATATATATGGGATCGCTTCCGCCTCTTGGGAGATCCACTTTTTAAATGTTTCTTTCTGTTTCGGCGTCGAGCCCTTCGTTACCTTAGTACCAGAGTGTTTGCGCAGGTTCCTGCTTTAGTTACTCTAGTCTTGCCATGGCTACGACCGCTGCTTTGGGGTCCGCTTGTCAGAGAGGGGACAGCTCCGCTCCCAGTGCTCAGGATCCGCGAGAGTTTATCTTGAAGACTGCATCTTTGATAAGGGAAGAGCACCTTGAGTTGGTGAGGAGAGGTTGCTGATGGGAGGAGGAGGTAGCGATGTAGGTGCTTTCCCCGGACGTAGGTATTGCTGACCCTGCCGATGGTTCCTGAATGTATATACGTATCCCTTCACACTGGTACCTCTCGATAGGGTCGTGCTCGACTTTTGCGTAAATTATCAGGTTACCTTGGCGCAGGTACACCCGTCGTTTGGGCGAATCGTGATGATGATGAGGTTTTTCGCAGAGAAGGCGGGGCTTGAATTCACTCTTAGCCATCTCGTCAGGTTGTACCGGCCTTTTCACCACCGAGGTCTGTTAACCTTGCGGTGCCTTTTGTTGTTGATGATGATGAAGGCGGAGATTGGGAGTGGGCCAGTCGGTTCGTCCGGGTCCGGACGACCGACGTTATCCCTGTGGAGCTTATGCCATTCCCTGAAGAATGGAACTACATGCGTGAGTGGAGCGTCTTGTGCTTTCTCAGATTTGTTCATGTTGAAAGCTAATCTCGTAATCGTGTTTCCTTCCTTTCTGTAGCGATTTCATGGGCGCCAGGCAAAGTTCCTGATCTTCCTGGTTGGGTCCGGAAGCTGGCGACCGACTCAACTTGCGACGAGCGTAGATGGCGAGCTGCATCTCGGGGCAGGTGGGAAGCAAAATGTCACGGTGCATG